TTATTTGATCAATTTATTTTTTGTATAGGATATTTAGAGAGATAAAGAGATATCTGCAAACTATGTAGTCGGTTTCGCTATAAATATGGCGAAATTTTTGGGATCATAATGTACTTACTGATAAAAACAGTCTTTTAACATTAAATTTTTTGCATCGCTACCAAACATTTTTGGAAATGAAAAGAAAATAAAAAAAATCTATTATTACCATCAAATTTTTAACACTAGCCAGACTGAATAAATGATAATATCCAATTGACTTTTGTAATTCTGAAATATTCTCACAATCCCAATCAAATAATAATTTAAATTAAACTTTACATAGCAATACCCAGACATTTTGATAAGAATCTACAATTGCAGAACTTCATCATAATAACTAAGCCGGCGTTTCTTATTAGAGTTTGCAAGGTCAATGGCATCAGTGTACAATGAATATGTCATATTGTTAATATCATCCTTGTAGTTGTTAAACCATAGGTCAGCATCACACATATCTTGTGGTGAACATAAAGGCCTTTTGGCATGAACTTTATCTATAATTTCTGTGGTATTTTTGTTGAAACTGATAACCAGCGATCTGGAGGAGTAAAATTTAGATTAAGTTCTCTAAAAATTTGCATAGCAGCACGGCAATTGAGGACATGTCCAAAGAAGTCTTCAAAGTTATGCCGATATATAATAAGACAGTTTGGTAGAGATTCTTCACAATAGCCACTAATATCTTTCTTCAAATCAGCAGATGATATAAATACTGTAATAACATTATAGTTGTTAATACCAAAATTTAAAGCTCCGCATAAGCCGGCTTGGCTTGGATTGCCACCGGCTCGAGCCGAGCCACTTTTTTTTCGGCTCGGATCGTGGAGATCAATTGACAAGCCAAGCCAAGCCGGCTCGTTCGGCTTGCATTTATATTTAGAAACGAAAAACCGTCGAGAGAAACGTTTCTCATCAAGAGATGCGTTCCCGGAACGATTTCCTTTGAGAGGAACTTTTCCGGAGCGTTTTCCATTAAGGAAATCGCTCCGGAAGCGAATTCTTTTAAAGAAAACGCTCCGGATGCGTTTTTCTTCAAAGAAAAACGTCACCGGGTTCGTTTTTCTTCAAAGGAAACGCCACCGGGTTCATTTTCTTCAAAGAAAACGTCACCGGGGCCGTTTTTCTTCAAAGGAAATGTCACCGGTGCCATTTTTTTCAAAAAAAACGTCACCGGGGCCGTTTTTCTTTAAGTAAACGCCATCGGAGCAGCTTTTCTTCGAAGAAAAACCGCCTTTGGATTCATTTTCTTCAAAGAAGAAAATACAAGCCAACGAGCCGAGCTGCGGCACGAGCCAAGCCACGGCACAAGCCGGCTTGTCTGGCTCGCGGCTCGTTTTATGGTGGCTCGAGCCGAGCCTAAACGAGCCGGCTCGTTTGGCTTGCAAGCGGCTCGGCTTATGCGGAGCTTTATAATTTACCATTAAATTTTCACATAAATTGAAAGTAAACTTATTTTAATTTTACACAAGTATTTTTTAGATTAATTTAACTTTGAATTCAGATTTTGAAATATGACATATGCCACAAATTTTATTAAATTAAAACAAATTTTGTATTATGTAATTTATTCTTTTTTAAAAAAAATTTTTTTTTAAATAATAGATATGTTTTTAACTAATGATTTAATCTATAATATCATTTTAAATGTAATGTCTGAAATATTTTTCCAAGTAAACCTTTGTAGAAATGTTCCATTTAATTATATTTTGCTCATAAATCAGAAAACAACTTTGTGATCAATAAATAAAATCTAAATTTCTGTTTCTGTAGAAATTTATTTATTAAAAAATTATTCATGATGTTGACTTAATGAAAATATTAATTTAAATTTACTATAAATATGAATCAAAATATGCTAATTTCTCAAATTTATCCCTTGTTTTACAATATAACAGAAATTTTTATGCGATCTTTGTTCATGGTGTTAGCTACAAAAATGATTTACTTTTAATTCAACATATTGAATTAAATGCAATACTTTATTATAATTATACCTATATGAAGACATGACAAAGGTAATAGCAAATAAATTGATAAAATTCCTTTATTAAACTCTTAGTTTATCCTAAAATCCTATTTTGAGTTATCTCCCAACTCAAAAGAAAATACAAGATATTTATATAAAATAAAATACTAATAATAAAATATAATAAATATAATATAAATAATAAATAAGATAAATAAGATAAATATAAAATATATAATAATTATTAAATAGATTATAATTAATAAGTATAAATAATATATATCTAATAAGATTACTATGATCACTTTGTCAAATTGGTTAACTTCGTTAACTTTGTAATCATTTCCAATAATAGAACTGGTCGCGATCACATTTAATGATCTTTTAGACTTGAATTTCTCTAAATATAATTTCCTAAATAAGTAATGCATTAATAAATCCATATATATCTAGCTCTTTTTATACGTATATTCATATTTATAATATATTTTTTTTAAAAATTAAATACAATAATTTTTAATTATAATTAAAAAAGAACAATTACTGTTATTAATAGCAAAGATTGTAAATGTGACTGATATTAGTTAAAGGCTTCTGCTAACTAATATAGTAATTATAATATAAGTGATGGTCAGTCAAACAGATGGTTAGCCAAAGATATTTTAGTTTGACCAACCATAACCATTAATATTCTGAAAAATATAAATTTTTTAATTAGTTGTTTATATCTAAAACTAAATTAATTCTTGATTTTTACTCATGAAATCAATTTAAAAATTATTTTATTTGATTTCTAAATTTCTGAAATAATATTGTGTAATGAGAAAAAGTAGAAAAAATTGAAATCATTTGAAGATGGGTTGCAATTAGTCACAAAACAGATACATTTACATCCTTAAGGGATGCTAATTTTCTAGAAAAAACTGGTTGATTTCTTCTAATATATTGTTCAAGAGACTTTTAAACTTTCTGAAGTGATTTGTCTGGAACAACTGAAGCACTTCTATTTTTTTTAACTTTTCAGGTTGAAATATTATGAATCTTATATTTGTTCATTATCTTATTTCAGCTGTATTCATAATTTCAGAATTCTACAAATGTTGAATGGATTGAGCCTACGTAGACTTATTATTAATCTTTATATTATCGCTATATTAGAAAATTTTTTCTAATTAAAATGCTCAGTTATGCTGTATTTTAAATATTTAAGTTAACCTAATTTGGTGTATCAAAATTGAGAAAATTTTTATTATTTATGTAATAATAAAAATTCAATTTTTGAATCATCGCTTTTTTATTTTTTATTTGCAATAATTATTTTGATGTATTTGAAACATAATTATTATTTGTAAGACCTTTGTTATAACATGAAAAGGTGCGGAAGAAATTGAAAACTGATGAATAATCAAATTTTTTATGTTTAATTATATAAATATTACTTATTTTTAGAATGGAAAATAAGTTTTTATATAGTTATACTACACAACAAATAATTCTAATCAGCAAAGTGAAAGAAGCTAGATTATGAAGAGATTCATATCATATTTTTCAAATAATTTTTAATAATTGTAAATATCATGTACTTTATTAATGAAAAATATATCATGCTAATATAGATGGAAATTTAACCATGTGATGAGAAATAACTATATTATAGATGTAGAAATTATAAAAAGAATGATAAAGTGTAAAATACTTTGTTAAAAATTTTCTTATGCACTATGAAAATTTTGAGGGAAATTAATATATGAATGAGTAAATTTTATTTAGTGTTAACTTGTAATTGACTGTGCTACTACATTACCACCATCAGATATATACAAGTGTAAGTTCTGAATTCAGTGAGTTGTCTGTCAGCTTATAAACTAATAGAATAGGTTATTTTAAAAATATTAAATAATTTTGAATAACTCGAATGTTAATTATTGCCAGCATTTAATTCAATCTTTTTATTCAAAAAATTTTTATTTATTATGTTGACATTTAAACTTGAGCGGTTATTCTATTATTCTTAGGATAATTCCTCTGCTTGAAATTTAAACATAATAATCAATCATATAATTTTTCCAAATAATTTATTATGATAAAATCAATGATCTGATTAATTTATTTTAGATATTTAAAGCAGTATTTGATTCAATAATTTTTTTATTTTATAAGCTTTTAATGAAATACAGTACCCTCCTAAGTATTCGTTCTCGATTTATGTAATTTTCATATAATAAATTTATCCAAACTTTTTTTTAAATTAAAAGTATTCGATTATAGCTAAATTTCATATAATTGCAGATCATTTTAATATAACAAACACGTGATGAAACTTTTAAATATAAATAAATGATTTTCACATGCTTTTTTTATACTTCTACTCATGAGAACTCATACCCTTTGAACATGATCAGGTTATTAGAATGAATAAAGCTGAAAAAATCGATTAACAATTAGTAATACTCTTAAAATTCCTAAATCAACAGTTCACGATATAATAAACTATTATGCAATTTTCTGAAAATGGGACTAGTGAAAAGTGAATCGGTCATTTACATGCACTTAATGATAATGATCATCAATAATTACAAAATATTTTAAAGGAAAATAATCGTCTTTCACTTGCTGAGATTCATCAAAAATTTCAAGATTTGCAAAATAAAAATATTTCTGAAAAAACAATTAGAAAAAGTCTTTACCAATCAGGATTACATTCACGCATTGCAGCATCCAAACCTTTTTTAACTGAATTACAACGTATAAAATGATTATAATGGTATATTAATCATCAAGATTGGTCAGTTCAAAAATGGAAAACGGTTATATAGAGTGATGAATCAAGATTTACTCTTTATCAAAGTGATGGACCTTGACGAGTTTGGAGAGAAAATGATACACGTTTCAATATTGAAAATTTGTCTCCTTCAATTAAACATGGGGGTGGTGAAATAAATGACCATTTGCTGCTATTAATCCGTTCTCAATTTCGCCGAAGTCCGTATGTATTTCAAGACGACAATACACCCGTGCATACTGCTAAAGATGTAAAGAATTGGATTGCTAAAAAAAGGATTAAAGTTCTATCGGATTGGCCTTCTCAATCTCCGGATCTCAATCCGATAGAACATTTATAGAATGAGTTAGAACAAAATATATGAAAATGTCATACCTGACCAAAAAATCTTAAAGAACTTGAAATGGAGAGTGAAGGAGAATTCCATCCAAAGTCTATAATAATTTAGTCGAGAGTATCCTAAACGAATTAATGCATGTATTGAAAGCCAGGGATGGCCTACAAAATATTAAATATTAAATGAATAATAAATAAAAAAAATATATTTCTTTTTTGAGCGGATACTTTTGGGAGGGTACTGTAGATAAATATTTAGATTAAAAATGTACAAAGAATTTTATTATCTTTCAAAGACAAACCAGCAACCTTGGTATCTTTTTTAATGAAGTTATCTAAAGGGAGTCTGATAAAACTTTTATTCAAAATAAAATCTGTCTGTAAATAAAGAACATAAATAAATTCATTGCAAAAATATATATAATTATAAAAAATATTATTTGTCTCACAATACGAATATTCATCGTATCGTTCATTGACTCTATATAAATAAATAAATAAAATAAACCCCTATTACAATGTTACACATTTTTTGACATTTTTTATTGATTGTGATTTTACTACATTAGTCAAACAATAGTCCTATTCAATTCCGAACGTGCTAAAAAAAAGACTATGTTCCTTTCTTCTAAAGTTATTTCCGAACTCATACTGCATTTCAAATTTAATAAAAGGTCTATAAAAATATCTTACCTTATCGTATAGTAAAAAATAATGATTCAAAAATTATTGTTACGCAAAAAACTATATTAGTTTAACCATTTCAACATTATAAAAGATTTAATCAAGTCAATTTCGTTAACTTCGATATTATGACAAATCGAATTTATACTACTTTGGATTTCTAACGCAAAATCAAATTTAACCATTGCACAAAATAGGACAAAAGGTTGCTTCACAAAACCCCCTTTCCGGTTTGCATGATCATATGCCACTTTCGGGAAATCAGTTTTTCCGTTTATAATACAGTCGTACCTCCTTATAGTCACACAGTTGGGCACTTAAAGCAAATGTGATTATGGAGAGGGATTTTCTTATAATTTAAAATTTATCCAAAATTTCAAATGTGTGACTATATGATATGCTTATATGAGTGTGACTATACGGAGGTACAACTGTATCTGTAAAATTTTTATATTATAATATACAATTTACATCAAGATATACTACAAATATCATTATAAAAATAAAATTAGTTGTATTTGAAGGTGAAGGAAGCCAATAATCAAATGATAGACAAAATTGGACCAGTGATTTAAATGTTAACTGTGGATCAAGTACTACATATTATAATTCATTCTATTTTTAATATTAGTTAAACAAGTTTAACATACCAAAGTCGCGTAACGGAGGGTCAGAAAACCATGACCCTGACCCGACGGGTTTTATTAAATTAGGTCGAATTAATTCTAGAGTCGGGTCAAATGACCCAACGATAACACAGTACTTTAACCGATAGATGATAAGATTTTGAACTGTTTAGATTTTCAGATTTGTTTTTCTAATTTTAAATTCATGTGTATGTATTACCAAAACAATGAAAATCCATATTTATTGTGTTATATATTAAATTATGCAATCAAGTTCTAGATTCAATACGTCGTCGAAATCAAGCTTCTATATAATACTTATTAATCAAATGATAAAATCTGATTGATTAAGCTGACTTTATGAATAATTTAAAGCAATATTTGATTCACTAATTTTTATTTTGAGTCCTTAACCTAAACCCCGGATTTAGAATAATATTCTTTTCTTAAATAAAATTGGTTTCAAAAAGGATTCATATATTCATCTAACATTTATCTTGGAAATTATTTTGCGATTTTAAATATTACAAAATAGAAATTATTATCAATGTACTTTTTGCACACTTTTAAATAATAATATAATGTATGTTATACATTTTGTTTTATTAGTTTCAATTTCATTTTATATGAAATTTTTATTAAAAAAAAAAAGAGTTTCAAATCATTACCAACTCAACATAAAATTATTTTGCTTGTTTTCTTTGATTAAAAATGCTTAAGGAAGTAAAAAAAAAAAAAAATTACACAACAACAACGCGTCTTGATATTATTAAAAAAATTTTATAACTTTATAACCAGTCATTATGCAAGTATTTCCATTCATGATCGGCGATCAGCCATGCGGCAAAAAAATTTCATGTGAAATTATGGTATATCCAAAATCTATTAAATTAAATCTCGATCATTAGTTGCTATGAATCATTATCTATTGGTTGTTTTCTAAAAATTTAAAGTAAACTCGGGTTTAACAAATTGTGCAACAAATATTGCATATAAGACCTTTTCACGCTTTTATTTGATGGTTGAACAATAAAACTTTTGATTGAATAAGGAATATTTAAATAATTTTAATATGCTAATACGGTATAGCTTTATTAATTGCAAATATTTATAATAAAGGATTAATCGGAACTTCGGTGTTCTTTCTTTATTAATTTCGCGCATTACCGATAAAAAATGTATTTAAGGGAGGGTTTTTAAATTCTATCCAAATCACCTTTTCGCGCAATTAAATCATCCATAGGTTTATTTAGACTTATCGATTAAGTAAGTCTAAAATCATATGATCGCCCCAGTCCTAGCGTCGCCCTGAAAAAATGGTAGCCGGATTTATTTGCCGGGTCACATATACTTATTATATATGACATATAATTGTGACAATTAGAAAGAATACTTAGTAAAGTGAAATTTTTTAACCCCTTAGTTATTCCTAATCCTAACCTTACTTTAATACTAACCCTATTACATAATAATAAATACCAAGAAAACAAATCGGCTACCATATTTTCCGGGCGACTCTGGGAGGGTAACAATAAATGAGATGTAGATCATCATATCTCAAATTTATATATAATATACTAAAAAGAGGTTTCTATATAAATTCTCAGATATCTTTTCAAATAAATAGAGATCCGAATTCCGTCATGATGCCAGAAGGAGAATTGAATCGAAAAAATAATTTAAATTTTGAAAGATGTTTAGATTGTGATAAGGAACAAAGTAATATCGGATGGTGTAAAATTTGTGAAATAAATGCTTTTAAAGCAAATTTTAAAAATTGGACAAGTGGAAATCTTGAAATCGATAATTTTATTAGACATACTCAATTAAATTCAACTGAAAGTGAAGATTATTTGGAATTTATTGATTTTAAGCAATTTGATCTTGTTGAAGATACATATAAAGGCGGAGCCTTTAGTACAATTTTTTCAGCAATTT